AGAAGCAAAAAGAAAAACCCCTTCCAGTCTGAATTTTTTACATTAGGAGTGTTTAGCACTTTTTCTGCCAGAAAACTAAAGTAAAAAAAATTGGATATGAGTTTCTTTTTATGGTTTTTATATACACTGCTCAAAAAATTAAAGGAACGCTTTAAGAGCATAGCATCAAGTCAATTAATCTCCTGGGATATTGATCTGGAGCAGTGTATAATGTTTCAATAAAAAAAAATTAAATTTTTTTACTAAGAACTTTTGTAGGAGTTTTGAATGGGTACCATTATTTCCCACTATCCAGCCCCTTTATTGCATTTTGAGAAAAGATTAAAGAGGTTATATTCTTCCTCTACTCCATTAAAGAAAAAAAAAAATTGTCTCTGCTGCTGAGTTACTTTCACTTATTGTCTGGGAAAATGTTAACAGCAGGACACAAAGTTATAGGGAACCTCTTTAAAGGAAAGTTGAGCGGTACTTTTTTTTTTTTTCTGGATATACCTTTTTGTGAAATTTCTTTGTTGTCAGTGAACTTGACCAGTTTGGACAAGTAGTAACCTCTTACACAATATTATAAATATTACTAGTTTGAAGATGTAACTACAAATCTTGAATACCCCTGGCATAAAGCTTTACTTAAAGTTGACCTAAACTTTGCCCTTGCAGGACAAAGCAACATGTTCACTTTAATGCAAATCTCCACATTTTTTCATCACTCACCCAACTCTCTTTCCAGCAGTCAGGACTGAAAGGGAGCACTACATAAGTACCAGTTGCTGAAGTCAAAATTTTCATAAATTTGTGGACACCCTATGTGAAAGTTCTGATTGACCCAGCAATGTAACTTAGGGTATGTCAACCACCCCTTCATACCCAAGAGTTCATATATTGTCTTCAGCTCCCGGTGTTGAATAGAGCAGTTAGGTAGCAACGGATTACCATCAATTGGCAAAGCATATGTTTGGTTTAAACATTTTAGAAATAACTGTATTTGTAAGATTGGACTGCCAAAGTACTTATGAATATGGAAGTCAAAAAGTCAAAATGCTTTTAGCCAGCTGCATATTATTTATTACTTTTTACCTGGATAAAATGGCTTGAAGTATTTTGCAAAAATCTTTGCTTAAGTTAGTACCAAGCTGACAGTTTCAATGGAACAGTCATTCAAGAATGCAGGATAATGATTATTAAGGAACTTTTATCACCTTCTTCGTGTTCAAACTGTGTGCGACGGTGCCGTACTTGTCAAGATCAGCATATTCTAGCTCTTATGTCATGAACAGAGCTGACATACTAGGTAATGGAGAAAAAGGAGTCAATGATTGGTCTTGTCTTTTTTAACCCACAACATGCCAAGCCCTCTAAGAATTTGCTCATAACTTGACTGAAAACACCACATCACAATGGATTAAGTTGCATTTTCTCCACATAATTAAACTGATGACATCGATTTAGTTTGCCAGGAACATTGGAAAACCCAATCATACAGTTTTTCTTATCTATTTTCTGATATCTTTGCCAGTGGCAGCTTACAGTCCTATCGTACAGCCACCTCCCCATTCAGACACCCTCTTCTCAGCGCATTGTACAGAAAATGGGAATTATGTGTAAAGAAAGAAACTGAATTTCTATGCTTCATGCACAGATAATAGAAAAACAACCCAGCCAGCGATTTTGTTTTGTTTTCTTTTTTTCATATGATTTTTCCTAACAGACCATCATACAGACAACTGGTGTCTTTAGAGGTCTGTTTTTTGGCTTTTTGTTTTGTACGTTATTGTGAAGTAATCTAAACTAGAAAAAAATGCATTTATGTATTTAATATGACTAATATTCTGACAGGGAACAGGAAACAAGAAACCGCAGGTCAGTTTAGTGGATTAACACAGTAATAAACCCAAAACCAAAAATGTAATACGTTTCAGCTCACCAATCATTAGATGTGGTGGCTGCATTCGTTTTTTTTTTTTTTTTTTTTTATAGTTTTAGTTTTTTTTAGGCTTTTTTTCCTGTTTACTACAGGGCTTGACAAATTTCCTTTGAATTTAGGTGCCTGCTAAAAAAGTTAGGAGCCAGTTTTTTAAATCAGCTGCCCGGAACTGCATGTCCAGGGTGTAGGGCAATAGGAATTGCTCACGCCTGGACCCAGGCCCAGACTGGGAGAAAAAATAGGTCCGGGCATAGACTGAGCAACCCACACTCTATTGCCATTCCTGCCTTGTTTTTTTACCTCACACCAAAACAAGGCATAAAACGGACCCGGAGTCCGCCCCTCTGTACCCTAGATGGCATTTCAAATGAGAGAATGGGGACGTAAGCCATGTAGCCAATCTACATTGTATCCATCCCTCTGAATGTTTGTGCTTGGTGGCCCATCCCCTTTTCAGTGATTGGCGGAGCCTTGAAGCCATACAAGCTGTAGCCATTGGCTTCTTATGCGCATGCCATGGCATCCCTAGGATGGCTTGTGTTTGTGTTATGGTGTCAGGCTTGTGTGCTGCCTGCCATGTCCCTGCATGGGAAACTGAAGAAGATCTACAAGTACAAGGTGCCGTGAAGCATGTCCTATATGTCAGGAATTGGAGTGTGAAGCTGGACAAGAGGTTCAGGTTGGCTCTGGACAGTTTTGTGGAGGGATAAAATCATAAGGTAACTAGAAAAAGGAAGGAAGAAAGGACACATTGAAAGTGTAAGTTCACCTTTACAGAAAATCTGTAAGGTGACCTTACACTGGACCCCCACCCCATCCCCCCTGGTCCCGCTGTACCAGTGACCCGCGATCCCCTGCTGTCAGGCACTGGGATGCTGCTTCACCGGTCCGGGAATTTGAAATCCCTGTGGATTTCTCTCCTCCCAGTACAAACAGGATGAGCTAGATGGATTCTGATTGGTTAGCGCCGTCCATGTGAGGTATGGATAGGAGATTAAGCCGCAGGGATTTCAAATCCCTGAATCAGTGAAGTGGCATCCTGGTGCCTGACAGCGAACAGCTGACAAAAGCCCAGGATCAAGGACGCAATTTCTTATCGCCATGGGGACTTGGCACCTGAGATTTACAAACCCCTGGTTTACTAGCATGGTCAGTTTGTGTTTGTTCCTTCTGGATTGGAGCTACAGGACTCTGTACAAGTACCTGGTACAACAGACACATCAGGAATATGAAATGTTGGGGTAACGTATTATTTAAATCATTTTGACTTTGCATCCTCTTTAACTGTTGATTTTTCTATATGTATTATATTTCACTATGCCCTCTTACTAGGAATACTCAGATAATGCCACTGTAGATGTTTTTGCAGCTATATAGTATACAGTATATTGCAATTACAGGAGATCTATCATAGTATAATTTGATATTAGGTTATATATATTTGATAACTCAATGTTATCTTAATACACTCCAAGTAATACATACAAATATTTACTTACAGTATAGTACTGTCCCAGCGTTATTCCCCCCAATAGACTCTAGTTAGGCAGGTCATCTCCAGTACATTGTGGTGTCACAAAAAGCAGTATTGTAATGGGAAAATGTTTCACTAGTATCATTTGTAGGCATCTGGTACAAAAAAACAAGAGGTACGAATCTTACCTATGGTATTTTTAATCTGTATCAAGTCTGTTGTAGCAGTCTTTCAAAGATAGTCCAAAATGTATGGCTACATGCAAACAAACAAACAAACAAAAAAATCACAATTAATTATTAATTAAAAATGAAAGAACAACTCCACTAGGTTTTTTTTCGTATACACAAGAGTCAGTTAAAAAAAAAAAAACAAAAAAAAAACTATAGTCTGCCGAAAATTTAGGAGCAAGAGTAAATTTGATAGACTTTTATCTAATAAAGCAGAGTAGTACTCTTTTAATATTGAGCTGTTAATAGCACTACTTTCCTTACATTTAAATGCCAGGCAAACCAGCTAGATTCCTTTAAAAAAAAAAAAAAAGGCATATAATTTCATTTGATCCTCTGCGGCTGTGGGTAGCAAAGAAATTACCCAATACTTTTGGGTATGAGAGAGCCTGACATGCACTAATCTTCCTCTCATGTGATTGTTAGGGGGCAGGGTAAGGATCCTTAGCCCTATGTCAGTTTTACTAAAGTAACTCTCTTTATTTGGTCCCAGTGGCTGAACAGAGCAGCACTGGAGCGAAGAAAGGATATAGACACACCGTGGAGAGGGTTACAGTGTGGAGAGGGGCATTAAACAGAATCCATTGCTTTACCCTGTCCTCATAGTGGCCGACTGCATTATTTGCAATTCTAAAAAAGGAAAATATCAGATATTAGCTGATGTATTTTGCTTAACAGGGATGGTGTTAATGCCAAATTGCATGTAGTCCAGGCTTTTCTGCATTTGTTGTGTTCTGCAGATCCTGTTCCCAGAATCAAGACAGGGTGCCATGGGCATATTATTTGCCGAGGTATCAGGAGCCGGCAAGCTAATAATTTTCATTGTATCAGTGCTAACAGAGCCAGGAATTGATACACAATTACATTTAATATTTTTGTTTTCTTTTTTAACCACTTGCCCTCCAGAGGATTTACCCCGCTTCCTGACCAGGCCATTTTTTCAATACGGCGCTATTTTAAGTAAACATTGCGCAGTCATGCAACGCTGCACCCAAATGAAATGTATGTCCTTTTTTTTTCCAACAAAGAGATCTTTCTTTCAGTGGTATTTAATCGCCTGTGCAATTTGTATTTTTTGCGCTATAAACAAAAAAAGACCGACAGTTTTAAACAATATTTTTTACTTTTTGCTATTAAACATGTCCCATAAAACATTTTAAAAAATCTAATTTTGGCATAATATTAGGCCAAAATGTATTCTGCTACATGTCTTTGCTAAAAAATCCTAATATGTGTAATTGGTTTATGTAAAAGTTACTGGAATACTGGAATTTACTGGAATACTGGAATTTTTTATTTTTTTCACTAGTAATGGTGGCGATCCGCGACTTATAGAGGGACTGCGGTAGGCATTCTGACACTGGGGGGAACTGACTTGGTGTCACTGACATCTCCAGTGACACCAATACAGTGATCAGTGCTAATAAAAAGCACTGACACTATACTAACGGCACTGGGCAGGAAGGGGTTAACATGTAGGGCGATCAAAGGGTTAACTGTGTGCTGGGTGCTGTCTTGCTATGAGGCTGTGTTCTGTGTTTCACTGTAAGCACACTGCTTTGTATGGCTCTGCTATGCAGAGCCATACAAAGCAGTGTGTAGGAGCTGACAGAGGAGAGATCTGTGTTGTTTATGCACAGGTCTCTCCTCCATCGGCGATACTCGGCAATCACTGGGTGCAGGTACACCACCTACCCGGAAATGCAGAATCAGGTATATATACGTGATTGTGCGCACTTGTGTCGCCCTTTAGCAGTATTTCTGCTATAGGGAGGCGCGGAAGCGGTTAAAGTGTAACTTCACCTTGCCCCTAACTTACCTAATTTGCTGGGTTGTCCTCAATTTAGATACTCACCCACCATATCCAACAATTACCTGCTGCGATCTGCTTCTCTACTGACAATCCAATCACGGGTAGTGTAAAGATGGGACACCCTATTATTAGTTACAATAACAAAACACCTGAGCTCCTGGTTTGTCATTGATTAACCACTTGAGCTCCGGAAGGTTTTATTTTCTTCATGACTGGAGCATTTTTTGCTATTCATCACTGCTTTAACTGGCATTTGCGCAGTCATCCAATTCTGTACGTCAATTAAATTTCTATAACTTTTTTCACACAAATAGAGCGTTGTTTTGATGGCATTTGATCACCACTGGGTTTTTTATTTTATGAGATATAAATGAAAAAATAAATTTTGAAAAAAAAAAAGCATTTTTTTCTACTCTCTGTCATGAAACATATCCAATAAAATTACATTTTGTCATAAATGTAGGCCAAAATGTATTCTGCTACATGTCTTTGATAAGAAAAAATCCCAAAAACTGTATGTTAATTGGTTTATGTGAAAGTTATGGCGACTTTGAAAATTGACCAGTTCTGTTGTACTGACGGCCTATCTCATTTCTTGAGTTCTTAAAATGCTTGTACACGGCTGGTCGTCAAGTGGATGGTCGTCAAGTGGATAAACGTACTACTCTATGTGTTGATATACAGATTGATATGTATTTCATCTGATCAAGTGGCTTTGGCTGTGAAATGCAGATTAGCTGTCAGTGATCATGTGCTTGGAACCCGGTAATTCAGAATTTGTTATTCTAAGACTAAAGCTGGCGATAGGTGATGCAATGTTTTCCTGCAACCATTGGTTGCAGAAAAGAAAATCACTTGCTAAAACCCATTCCCACCCACAAAACGTTTGTGCTCTCCCAGCAGGGAGGGAAGCCGTCCCTGCCGGGAGAACACTGATTATTTCCAGCTGCCTCCCTTTCGGGAGAGCACAGTGATTATTTCCAGTGGCACAAGCTGGTTGTACCCAAGTCACAAAACAGTCAAAACTGATACAATCAGCCTGCTCATTGATGGTTAGAATCTCTGCCAGGCCCTGATGAACCTGCCGAAATTCAAACAATTTATAGCTGGCTTTAGTGTTGTCAATGACAGTTCAGTTTTTGTGCTGGGGATGAACAATCAAGAGTGTTTCCAGCACAAACACATACCTCATATATGCAGTGCCATGGAATAACATGCACTTCAATGACACCACATACATATGTGTTACATTATTATCAGTGGTACCATTGTTTAATGGCACCTCTGATGAACCCAAATGGCAACTGGTTGATATAGACATCTCAGGGTTCAGAAGGTCTTCCTACTCAGGTTAAAGTAAATCTGGCCTGGGAGAAACATGTAAGCAGTCATTGCTGACGTATCTTTCTAAAATGCTAGTTGCCTTGCTGATCCATTGTCTTCACTACGCTCTGAGTCACTGACTCGAAATAAGCATGCAGATGAGAAGTTGTGACTTTACTCTGACCCAACTAGCTTTATGCTTGTTCCAGGTCAATGACTTAGAAAGTATTGCTGAGACAGTCAACCAGTTAATTACCTTCAAGTATTTTTAAAGCTAATAGTTTTTTTTAACCACTTGCTTCCCAAGCCTATTCTGACACCTCTCACATAAATGTAAAAATCAGCTTTTTTTGCTAGAAAATGACGTAGTATTCCCCAAACATTATATACTTTTTTAAGCAGAGGCCCTGAGAATAAAATTGAGAGTGTTACAATTTTTTATGTAACAGTATTTGTACAGCGGTTTTTAAAACTTTTTTTTCTGTAAACAATACACTTTAATTAATTTAATGCACAAAAACACAATATAATACCCAATTGTTTGGTAAAATGTAAAAGATGATCTTACACTGAGTAAATAGATATCTAACATGTCACATTTTAAAATTGTGCACGCTTGTGGAATGGTGAGAAACTAAGCTATTTAAAAGTCTCCTTAGGCTAAGCTTTAAAAAGCCTCTACAGGTTACCAGTTTAAAGTAATGCAGGAGGTCTGGTGCTACAATTATTGCTCTCGCTATAAGGTTCACAGAGATACCTCACATGTGTGGTGCAAACACTGTTTAAAATATGCGTATGTGTTCGCCTTTGTGCAAGAGCATGAGGGGACAGGGGTGTGTAAAAAATTTTTTAATTATTATTTTGTTTACATTTTTTATTTTTACACTGTCTTTTTAAATGTTTTTGCTCACTTTTATTGCTATCACACAAGATGAACAACATCTCTTGTGATAGCATGGGCAGTGACAGGTTCTCTTTATTGAGACATCTGGGGTATATTAGACCCCAGATCTCTCCTTTGCTCTTGAAAGCATCCGATAAAACTGAAATTGGTTTGAGCAGATGCTTTCACAGAATGGTAACGGCCTATTTCTTAGACCATAGAGATGATCAGGGACATTTCGGTGGTACAGGAGAGCCCAGGAAGGTGGCTGAAGATGGGGGGAGTGACCCCCTTCTGCTGCATGGAAAAGTGATCCAGAGGCTATTTAGCCACTCGCTTTATTCAGCATTTCCGTCTGAAAAGATTGATACTGCAGCTGCAGCCCTGGCCCCGGGATAACCACTTAAACTCAAGGACATATAGGTATGTCCATTTGAGGCAAGTGGTGATCTTTGATTGATAGAGTAGAATAATTAAAATTCCTGCCAATTTCTCTCCATTTCCTGTCTTGTACAACAGAAAGTGGGAGGAAGTTTCTCCGAAGTAAGGGAAAACACAACTGACATTCTCTGCTCTGGTGACAACGAAAAATCGAAACATCGGGATCCAGGCAATGCTCCCAAAAGGATCTAATATGAAATAAGATAGTGTTTTTATTGGTCAGAGACCCCCCCCCCCCCTTTACAAGCAAGGAGCCCACATGGCTGCTAAACATATGGTTGATATATATATATGTGATTGTACTCTTGATTCTAATAAATATTATTATTATTATACAGTACAGCTACAATACAATCAAAACAAGAGGACTAAGAGGGCCCTACTCATAAGAGCTTACAATCTAATAGATACTGGGTTTATTAAATCCAACTGGGAATGTCAGCTGGATCACATTTCGATCGGCATGTCAGCAAAGAAGGCTATCGGTTTTACCGCTGCTAGGTGACTGGCTGGGTGCTCAGCTGTCTACAACCAATAGTATCAGCCTTCCCCCAAATGGACTCACCAGCCCCATAATGAAACCAGCACTGGGTCCTAATAGACTGCCGCTGCTGCCATAGAGACAGAGATGCCAGACCAACGCTTTCAATAGCAGGGGTAGGACAGCAAGAGGAGATTGGGGACCTCCATGGTGACAGCTACACAAAAATTGGCAACTGTCCCAACCTATAACCAGCCTTTGCAGTAAGGTGCACATGGAAGGGCAATGCACATTGCAAACAAAGGATTTCCCAGCAAAACTTACCAGCCAGCATGCAAAACAACGAATTTAGCTTTGTCTAACAGTTTTCTTTAAAAACAGAAGGTTTTGTTTGCACACATTTCATGTTGACAGAACACCAGGGCCTGGTCACAGGTGCGACCTTTGCAACCCTGGTAGTTCTGCCACTGCATTGGACTCTTACATATCTCTTGCTTTCTGCCAATGTGGGGGGGCACAAGACAGAAGGCAGGGGGTTCACTCCAGAACATGTGAAAGGGACCCGCTGCAGAATTGTGGGGAGGGGGGCCCTTCAAGGTTTTTTGCACCAGGGCCCTGAAAGTTCTAGTTATGCAGCTTTGCTATCATCAATGTATAGTAAATATAATTACCCAAATTTGACTTGGTAGCAGCCTCAGTAGAGCTCAGAGAACAGTAGAGTTCAGAAAGGTGGAGGAAAAAAAAGCACAAGAAGCCATATAAGTTTGCTGCAGTGCAAGGAGCATAGCAGATTGATAGAGAAAATATAGCTCATCAGTCTGCTGCTTCTCCTTTCACTCTCTCTAGTCACTTTGTGGGACGGGGAATTGAGACTGAAACCCAGGAAGATAAGATCCTCTTCTCTGCTTGACAGAACTGTGCCATGGGACACAGCTAGTCTCAGGACTGTTTGAGCAAAAAGAAAATTCCTTTGACAATTAAATAAATTGCATATGTACGTATATTTAGTCCATGTATTTAGCTGTTTGACTGGAGTTCAGCTAAACTGAATGAACATTGGCACTATTACATTGTTTTCTATAAAGTGTTGGTGGGTCCTTTATGGGTTGGCTGGACTTGCTTTATAATCATTTATTTTATTAGTTTGACATGGAAACTAAATGTAAAAGGCTTGTTGCAGTGTCATTGCTGAACATTGCACCTAAGTGCATTTTAAAAAGTACAGTATGTTCATGTTTGATAGATACAATAAAAGGTGACTGGAAGAAGGCTTTCCATTTCTGAGAAAAGGTTTAAAATCCTTTCACTCGTGGTTCTGAAACTATTAAGTGATGAATAACAAAAAACTAAAAATCTTACGGTGACTGTTGGAAAATTATTTTTAAAGGGGACCTTTAATCGTTGTTGATCAATTTTAGTTTTACATTTTAAATATTTATGTTTTAAAGTGTATTGTTTATCTGTGTTTTAA